TGAAGACTAATACATACTATAACATCAGTTGTCAGTTGTTTTTTGTTGTTTTCTTTTTCTAAAATATTTGATTGCTTTGTGCTCAAGGATTATATCTGCATGAATCAAGCATGACCAAATAAAAGCATCTTTCAGAAATGGAGAAAGTTCTGATTTGGAACTAATTGTACTGGGCATCTTTTAAAAAGATGTAGACCTTGGCAACACATGCCCAGATGAAACCAGTGAAAAGCACTCCATGATTTTATACTAGCAGAATCACAGAATCCACATCTCTCTCATTATAATTTCTCTCTCCCTCTCCAAATGATATTAAACCCCAGTAATCCAATTTCTCTCTGGCTATCACAACACTGGTTCCTAGTGTTGGGGTGGTGAAGGAAGAGCACATCAGGCAACATCAGGCTCTTCAGCACAGCAAAGTTGCTGCACCTCATATTATTTAGCAAGGTTTGCAGCTGTACTCAAGACATAACCCTGGTTTCAGGTTTGGAGCTCTTTTACTGTACTCTAATCAGATTTGCACCCAATCCTCCCATTGCTTGTTGTGATCATCTCATCATGACTAAAGCAAGACAAGAGCTCAGCCAAACAGCAGTGAATTTGGGGCTGACAGGGTTAGTAGGACTTGAGGGACCCCACCAGGGTGTGCCCTGCTCTGCAAAGTGACATTTTTCTGCCTCTGCAGACTGGGGGTAAGGATGTTGATCCAACAGTTTTGATGTCTGAAGCAGGTGTCCATGCCTTCCAGAGGCATTTTCTTTCTCAGTGGTCACATAGAGATTTTAACGTGAAAGTTTTCTTCTGCAAAACCTGTCTAATATTTAAACCTGACAGATACCACAGTCTGTGGCATAATGGCTGTTGCTGTAATTCATTAAACTGACCCCCAACCACTTTGCATCATAGAATCATAGAATTGTTTAGGTTGGAAAAGTCCTCTAGGATCATCAAGTCCAACCACTTATGCAGCACCATCACATTCCCCACCAAACCATGTCCCCAGGTGCCTCATCTATGTGTCTTTAAATAATTTCAGGTTTGCTGACTCAACCACTTCCCTGGGCAGCTTCTTCCAATGCTTGACAACCCTTTAAAGGTAGAAGTTTTCCCTAATATCTGATCTAAAACTCCCCCTAGGGCAACTTGAGGCTGTCTCCTTTTGTCCTATCACTTGTTCTCAGTGGAAAATGACCTCCATATTTCTAGAACCTCCTTTCAGGTAGTTGCAGATAGAGATAAGGTTTTCCCTGAGCCCTTCTTTCTCCAAACTAAACATTCCCAGCTCCATCAGCTGCTCCTCTTAAGACTTGTGAGGCTTCAGACCCTTCATGTTCCTACCGTGCTGGATGATTATTATTACTCTGTCTTATTTAAGATTTTTTTCCAAACTGGGACATGAAATAATTTCTAAGGTATCAGCAAAAACTGTTAGGGAATAATGTCTTGGGAACCAAAGACAACCAGAATGCTTCCCTATTTAAATAGAATTCTCCCCTGCCATGGCAGGTGCCAGCTGAGCTCACACAGGTACCTGGCAGTTCCTCAGGAATTACTTCAGCCTTACTTCAATCATGTCTGGTAAATTTGGATAACAAGAGAAGTGCCTTAAGAGGCACTGCAGCCATTCCCACATTCAATGCTGTCAGCTACATAACCAACAGGACACAGCTAAGTTTTTACAAGTACATTTTTATTTAAAATAAAAATTAATTATGGTGCCTTTTTAAAATAGGGTACTGCACAATCTGTATATGCAACACAGTTTTTGGTACAGAACATACTTATTGAGCAAAATCCTTAAATACTAAATATACATTAATGGCTTGTTTGAGAAACATGACAACATTAAGTTTGATATTTTTTTCTCTTTAGTCATTTAACCACTGATACAGATTTCCTATAAACAATATTTGTTTTCATCTGTACATGTGGTACACAGTCAAGAAGGCAGATCTTAGAATATTTACATTCATGCATTGATTTAAACACACTATTTTGCAGTTTAAAATAATATATTTTTGTTTGTACAGGTGTAGGGAGTATAGTAAATACATATCTACCATAGGTCTGATTCTCCATTGCTTGGCAGCATCAATGGTCATGACTGGGTTGGAGCAGGGTGTCCCCACTTTCTCCAGGTGCTGTGACCATGTAGTATGCAAGAGTGGACAACCAGGTCTCTGTATAGATATATATCAATATATTTATATTTTATACTTTGTAGAACTTTCCCCTTCCTTTCCATGTCTGTTTTTGCAGCATCTGTCCAAGGCAGAAATGCTTCCCTGGGCACACCACTGTGTCAGGTGTGGGACAGGAAGGGCAGCAGGGCTGGGGCTTCAGCTCCACCTTCCTGTCTTGTGAGGAACAAGGAAACTCAACACTTGGCAGCTCAGGCCCTTGAGGTGCATTCCCTGCTAGTGTGATCCTTGAGAAGAGATTTGGAGCTGCTGCTCTCCCTCAGACTGGGGGCAGCAGTTTGCTGACTTTGTCAGGTGGTGGGCAGAGCACAGCAAGCACCTTCTGTGTAGGAACTGGCCACCTTCACATCTGCTGGGGATGTGACTATTTTGTCAATGGAGCTAGGCAGGTCCTTTCTACCCCTGATATTTTAGTGGCTAAAAAGGAACTCAGAATGCTTGTAAAGCTGCATTTTGGGTTGCCAGTTCCCCAGATGCAGAATCACTGCTTAGCAAAGTGTTCATGTATCTGGTCTATTCCTTTCCCTTTGCATTTAATTATAGTACAGTAAGGAAGCACAGAAGCCTCTCTATATAAGCTTTGTAAGTAGTCTGTGGAGTATTAAACACAACCTTAAACCCCATCAGCAAGCCTCAGAAATCATTCCTCAGTGACATCCCCTGTCTAGCCTTCCTCTTCTGAAGAGTTGTGTCTGATTCCAGTACACTTTTCCCAGCGCCTTTCTCAAGATCCCTTTGGTGCAATGTGCCCAACTGTACCTGGGCAGGAATCTGAAGGCAAAGCTGCCCCATGCAAGATCTCCCACCTCTCCTGCCATGCTGCCATGTGAGGGCTGAGAGCAAAGGCTCTGGGCAAGCACAAGAGCAGCTCTCAGCCCGTCTGCTGCTGCTTTTCTTTTATGCATTAGAAAAGCACATGAGGAATGCTTGCTCAGGAACTATTATGGCAATTATGTGCCCGAGACATTTATCAGCATGTTGCATATATTGATACTGTACATCCACCTAGCAAATAAGCTGCTAGCTGTGTATTTCTCTCCAAATGCTGCTGCAGAGCTGGTACCTACTTTTATTGTGATTATACAGATGGGTAAACTGAGGCACAGAGAGGCAAAATTACTTGCTAGTAAACAGCAGATCAGTGGCAGAGTTGGAAATAGATCCTAGGCAGCATGTGCTGTGCCTTGCAATGCCCTGCCTCTTCACTCTCCAGGAAGTTTTTAAAGGTTATGTTTTCCTGAAGAGTTTTCATGGGCCCTAGGCTGGGTTTGCTTGTGGGTTATGTCATCATCAGGGTCTTCTCTAGTGAGGACATTTTATCACTGATACCACTGAAAATCAGACAGTTTAGTGACCATCTCTTTTTACTCTTTTTTGCAAAAACAGACATATTTTGATGGACATAATTACCTACAAATCCTTTTTGTGATTTTGACCTTACAGAACATGCCTTTAAAGCTGTATTAGGAAACAAATAAAATCAACAACCTTTAGGAGAAAGTGCTAATCCTGAGCCCATATTATGCTCAACTTATCTGCATTCATACTTTATACTCTCAGATAAACATGCAACCAGTCTCAAACTATGCCACATTTCTACATTTAGGCTGAAACCACTGGAGTAAAAAAAGAAAGGCAAACATAGGTAACTACACCAAAATAAATGTTATAGCTTAAAAATATTCTAGAAATATACTTGCAATATTTTTATTATAGTATTTAGGGGCTAAGTGCTTTAGGCAATCGACATTTGGGATACTAGACTCAAATTGTAAATTGTTTAATTTTAATCCCACTTTGGATCTAAGGATATATCACTGTGTCTTGCACAAGCACACAACATTAATGTGGCTGGGAATGATCATACTTGTGGTTACTTGCCTCCTTTCACATTTGCAATTGCATTCACTTCCCAAGAAAGTCTAACTTTAAAAAATAATTTTATGCAGTTAAACTTCTACATAGTGATGACAGACTAAAAAGCTAAATTAATAACTACATAAATTTCTCAAGAGCAATATATAGCAGCATTTCATTTTATCATTGAAAGGGTACTTGTATTTACACACACCCTCTTGTTTGACAGGTAATAGAAAACTGCAGATGGGCCTGAGCTGAGACTGCTGATTTGAACATTCCAGAGCTTTTTTGGGGAAGATCTGCAGAACATTGTCTTCCTCTACCATCACACCAAACTCTGCATCCCAGGGACAGATTACCCACAGGCCAGAATGCGCTCCAAATCCAGGTCTGATTTCTGCAGTTCAGGCACATCCTTGTATAAAACTGAAAGCATTGGTGTGTTGCAGTACTGAGGGACAACACAGCTGGGGCAGCCAGGTCCCAGAGAGAGACTGCACCCGTGCCTGGGAGTTACCCACAGACACAGAGACCGAGTGGTACCAAAGTTTTATGTCCAGACAAGACGCCAGGGTGTAAATTTGTCTTTGACTGCATCACTACTTTCAGCACAGAGGTAAATGGAGACATACAGGTGGAGATATGACACAAAGGAACGTTTTCAGGAGGTAGGGAAAGACCAGCTCTCAACTAGTCTCATCACCTTTATCCTAAGGGCTACTTGCTGAGTCTGACCTGAGATCCTGCGTGAAATGAATTTGGGTAGATTCAGCTTTGCTTTAAATAGTCTGCAACCCATGTCGTGGAAAGTATACTGAACTGTATGCTGAACTTGGCACCACTGTCAGCCTGAGCTCAGGAGAGGCAGAGACCGAGGTAATGTGGGCACAACCAGCTACCAGACCCTCAAAATGGTCCTACAAGCCAGACCTACAAGCCAGACCTGCAACGTCCTCAGTGCATCAGTTCAGGAGACTCAACACTTTGAGGGAACAACACTAACCAGCGAAAGAAGAGAATTTCAAAGGGCTTCTAGTCCTTTCAGCACAATCCTGCCCCAACACTCACACCGAGATGTAAACAGTATCTTTCCTGTAGGAGTTTCCCTGGGGAATCAGCGTGAACACACAGAAACAAGGAGTTTCACAAAGGAACATTTTTAAAGATAAAATAAAAGTGTGGCGCAAAAAAGGAGGCTAATTATGAAGTCATAATGTTTAAAGCACTTCTCTTTCAATAGCAATGCTAATTGCTAAAATCTTACATTTTAATTTCTTCTGCCTGAAAACTTCAGCCATGAAAGCTGCATAGTCACCAGACCACAGATAAATTTCTTGGGATGAGTCACAAGTTCAGGGCAATTTTGCTTGATTGTTTAACAGAAACCTTTGTTCCCTTTGTAATAACAAAATAGTAAGAATGAAAGGAATGAAGCATCAGCGTATGAAGCTGCACAGGCTGGAGAAGCACAGAGGTGACACCTCTCTCCATGTAGAGGGAGACACCTCCCATTTAAAGGGAGATACTTCCCTCTGACCCATCTGTGATAAACTACTGCCACTCTGGCAGATCACCCTCTCCTCAAAAGATCCTGCTCCAGAAGCTTTTTGTGACACTCAGTTCAAACACAAAAGTAGGGGAAGAGAGGAAGAAGAAGGAGTGGGAGGCATGGCAACATGGCTTTCATGGGATGCAGCATGCAGTGCTTATGCCTTTGTGAGGCCTTTCCTCTGGGCAGCCCAGGTGGGTGAGCTGATCCTCCCCTGGAGCAGCAGCAAGCCTGGAGAGCAGCCTGGTTTTCTCTTCTGGATCACTGATGAGTGCGCTGTTTCTGAAATGAAGTCCTTGGCCACAGAGCTCCCTTGGTTGCCTCATTTCACCCACCTTGCATACTCTGTGTGTGTGCTTTGAAAGTTTGCCACCTCCTGCGCTTGGCGGGCTCCCGGGGATTATACGACCGCATTGTTATCAACTGTTTTGTTGTTCTGGGAGGAGGTCATTGCATATTCCGACCGACTGGTTCCGTTCTCTTCTTTTCTCATTGGTTTCCTTGGGTGAGCCCACGTTTGGTGATGTACAGGCAGGGAAGGGAGAGAAGAAAAACAGAGATCAACATCCTCTTTGTCAATACAGATCGAAAGCCAGGACATGTAAGGTACGTAATAATACCACCAAACTTCTGTCTATTTTTCCCTTTCTGAACACAGTCCAAAGCAGCAGATAATTTTGTCAAGCATCACAGTCCACCTGCAAGGTGACATGTCTGATGCTAAGGTGTCATGATGTGTTTTTGGTGTCCCCATGCCAGTCTGTTAATGGATACAGGTGTCCCTGTTGCATGAGATGAAGGCTGCTGGAAGGAATGTCTTCCACTGCCACCTGCATGTCTGGAACACAGGCTGGGATGCTGGGCTGGGTGCTGGGTGGGCTCTGCCTTGGGGCAGTCATGACCTTCTTCCTCAGAGTGTCATATCATTCAAACTGGGATGATGACCAGTCATGTCCACCAAGGACCCAAGTGCCTCACTGATCATGAGAACACCACTGTGTTCAGTCACTAGGAGTGACCAGTGCAGATATATACACACCTGTGGTGACCATCCTAGACAATCTCCACAGCCAGTGGAGAAAAACAGGTGCTTTCAAACACAGTTCAGAACAGCTTAAAGTGGATACCCAAAATATGTCAGATGCTTTGTGCCCAAGGCATTTGTGTGTCCCTGCACTGTCAGTAAAGGCAGGCTAGTCTGCTAGCCCAGATAGAGGTGTCTTGTGTTCTAGGGGTCTGAGCTAGAGACTGAAACATGGTGCCTGCTGTGACCTACCATACCCAGCACCATTGCCTTCTTGTTTTGTTTAGTGGCCACTCCTGCTACTTGCTAACAGAGTCCAGGATCACTGTTAATTGTGAGAAAATTCAGGAAATTCTCAACAAGTGCAGGAAGCTATCAAGCATCTGTACATTACAGAGCAAAATAATTTATTTAGGATTTTATAGTTACTCTGAAAAGGGACACCTGAGCTTAAGTCCCATAACAGACCATGTTCCATGGACATGGAACAGACCACTTCCCCCCACAACTTCCCTTCTCAAAAGTGGCTTAACTTGAAGCTTTAAACATAGTAGGAGGAAAAAAGCTTTGTGCTTTCCACACAGATATTTCAGACATGAGTGTCTTGAGTTTAAGGTATTCCTGTGGGCAAAAAGAGGACCAGATACATGTACTACAACAATCATTCTCTGCTATTGTTCTCATCAATGTTTAACAAAACAAACAGCAATTATTACAAAATGGTTAATGATATTTGATTTCAGCAAAGTATTAATGAAAGCTTTATGGAGAGTGATTACAGGTACGTAAATTTGTTTGCTTGTAATCTCAAAGAAAATACTTCCACTTGTGATATTTTGTGCCTCTACCTGGTAAGAGTTAAAGCTTGTTAATATTAGTCATGATTGCAGCTATTAGAGAAGGGAAATGGAAAAGGAGACTAAGAGTTAAGGAGACTGAGGGCTTTGATAAACTGTTTTTCAGTGCTCAACATGCAGCGCCTGTCTGAATCTGAAACAAGGTCATGGGGTCTTTCTTCTGAGACACTGAAGGCACACATCCACCACGCCACATCCCTGACAGGAAGAATGGGGAATCTGATGGCAGTGCTTATTTCTTGTCAGGGAGGAAAAATGGAGCGGCTGTCTATACATCTCTGCTGCTTTCAAAAATTCTTTTGTTTTTCTTTTCTCTCAGTTCCAAACCTATCAATAATTTAAAAATGAAGACATTTTGGCCACTTTTACTTGCTGTTTTTCTCCTATTTACTCCTTCTTTCTTTGATCTCCTATGTTTCTGCCCCTCTCCAGTTCCATTTTTTTTCCCTAACTAGACTTCTTCTTTCTTTATGTTAAAAAATGTCTTCCTCTCATTTTATCTACATTTTTACATTTTCTAGTAGTGATTTTAAGATGCAGTGCTTCAGTTGTCCTGAAATTTGCACTCGCCCTTCCCCAGGCTGGTGTCCCAGCACAGACCTGGGTGGATTGGTGAGATCTCTCTGCAGACCCTGCTAGACAGGTGGCCAGGGATGTCACACCACTGGCACTTGCATGCAATGGAAGAGTATTTTTTCAGAGCCTGCAAATAGGGGAATGGAGATTTTATCAAGGTTCTGCTTCTGCCTTATCAATTGCTCAGGGTTAGTGCTAGCAAAACAAAGCACTTATTTTCCTGAGTCTCAATGAAAAGACTATTGTTAGATGCAAAAGTTCAGGCTTGGAGACTGCTCTGCTTAACTCCTCTCTCCATTTGTTTTCAAATGCACAACAGGCAGGGATTTGGGGTCAGACTTGCCCCAGGTACATAATTTAAATCACTGGCTTGGCACACTGGTATGCACTTGTCACCATGATGAAATTGGCCCATGTATTTAGATAGACAAGGTCATTTTGGCTTGTTGTGATTTTTCAAGTGCCCTCTTGCATTAGGGCATTGGCTCTCTGTGTGCCACTAGTTCTGACCCACTAACTCTTTTTACTCCAATTTTTGTTCACTGTTGAGATCCAAGCATGCAAAGTTTTTTGCACACCAAAGAGAACCCTTTTATCCTATTTTCTGCGTAATAAGCCAAATTGTGCATCATCTTCCAAAGTGTAATGCTTCCAAGCCCCCTTTCAGATGATAAACTATGGACACACATTTATGCATTTCCATTCCAGGGTTGCTCTTGATTGGTTAAAGGGATGTTTCAGATTAGTGAGGAAATGAGTAGGGAACTATTCATGGCTGTGACATACTCACTTGGTGGCAGGCGAAACAGGCTTTTCACTAATAAGTGGTTTGCATTGTTTTACAGTATAATTTGCTATACATTGTTTAGCAAACAAATTGGGTCTTCATGCCAAACATCTGTCAATGAAACTCTGGCCATGCAACTCTGTACAGCTCAGCACATGCCTGAAATGGTGCCTCAGAGTCCATAATGACCTCTCCACCATGCATGCATTAACTTGTGCGAGTCCTAAAATCAAGAAAGCATCAAATAGCTGTTTAACAGTGTATTCACACATCAAGCTAAAATTTCAGATGAAGTTCCGATCACATTATATATCTTATTTATCAAAGAATTTCATACTGTCTTGTCACATTGGCTTGTACCAATCCTCTGCAGAGTCCTGGACAAAGGTCAATGTACTGATGCACATTCAAACACAATTTTTATGTTCTATGTTTAGAAAATTTTTTAGAGGAAACATAGCTTTTGGCCCTTTATTATGTCTAGTCACAAAACTTAGTTTGTGTATTTGACAAAACCCTCCTTGCCAGCTTTGGCTACTGTGTCAATATGGCATAGGCCTACTGTTTATAAGGCAATTATGTGGTAGAGTACTAGGAAAGGGCTTCACCTTGTGTCCCATTTGTACACACTTCAGAAAATCTCTGTCTATGACTACTCAGACAAAATCAAGTAAAAACAGAGCAGACTATTAATTTAATCATGACTTTATCCCACCTCATTATAGGTGTGATAAATTAAGCTTTGAGAAGAATAAGATCACTTTGACATGGGAACAGAACTTTTGTCCTGAACTGTAAAACTGCAAGAGAGTTTAAAACTCCCAGTGCAATCCACATTTCATACACTTCCAGGTGCTTCATGCTTGAAAGGGATGAGAGTTTAGAATAAAACCTGATTTCATAAGACAGCCTGAGTATTGCAAACCTGTTTCTGCCAATTACCTCCATAGCAATGTCTCTGTTGAGTGCAAGAGCATCCAGCCCAGCATCTGGGAAGGCTGGATTCCAAGGAAATCCAATTAAGCTAGGAAGGGGTGACCTTGGGCTGGCAGCAGAGACATGCCAGGATCTCAAATTCACCTCCTCCTGGGGTTCCCATACCCGACTCAGCACTGCCAGGAGACACCTGTCTCCACTGGGGGATTTGCTGCCATGGATTATTCTCTGGGGAAATACATATCCTATTTCTTCCCAAACAGCAATAGAGGGTCATTCTTCTTTTCAGGTATAGTTAGAAAAGGAAAGACTGGTTTTTTGGTATGCATTGTTGGAGGGGATGACCAGTTCTCAGAAGTTCAAAGTGAAACTTCACTCTTCACTGAGCAGTACAAAATTGTAAATTGTAAAAGCCAACTAGAAAAATCTCTCGCTATGTACGTATATACATGAAAGATTGCACTGTATGGGTATCAGTATCAGCTGACAGATTTTACCCAAGGTGAAAGCTATGAGGCATCTCCCTACTGTCTGCACAATTGTATTTGTGCCAATGTAAGGGGTGCCCATGCCAAAAATCCCTTTGTGTTCTCAGTTCTTCTCAGGAAGGTGCTTTAGTAGCATGTAAGGAGCTTGTCTCTCTCCTGATCGCTGTTTCACTCCTGAACAAAGTTCTCTGGGCAGCTCCATTTGGCAGCCCCATTTCTGGTGCTGGCATGGGCTGGGTTGAGTGCCAGTCTCTGGGGCAAAGTGGCTGAAGGGAGAAGGCAAATCAGGGAGCTATTTCACTTACATGGCCAGTGATCTCAAAGCCCTTCTTCACAACCATACTTCATTAGCTATCAACCCACAAAAGATACCAACTTTCAATAAAATTGGGTGTCATACAATATACCCATTTGCTTCATAGGACTGGTCTATCCTCAGGGGACATATAAATAGAAATACCCAGAAATATCCGAGCTACCTATATACCAGTAGAGATCAAGCTGCAGTGCCATCTTCCCGGGTTACAAAAAGTCCAAGAATCAGGGAAGATATTTGTCCAGTTTATTTCCACTCAGTTTCATCTCCAGGGCCAGGATGCTAGCAGAGGATGCTGTGGCAGCTCTGCTGAGAGCTCCAGGCTAGACTTCACTGCTTGAAGTCCAGACATGATGATGTGTGGGCTACAGTCACACTTCAAATACATCCCTATTTAGCAGACAGGAATGGAAGAATACATTTTGTCATGTTATTCAATTACTAGACCATCACTCTGCATAATCTGAATGTTTATAAGAACATAAAGAACATGAATGGAGGCTGTTTACAGCTCAG